AGTTTTGCTCTTGTTGCCCAGGCTGGAGTGTGATGGCGAAATATCGGCTCACTGCAACCTCCGCCTCCCGGGTTCAAGTGGTTCTCCTGCCTCAGCCTCCCAAATTGCTGGGATTATAGGCACCTGGCACCATGCCTAATTTTTGTGTGTTTTTAGTAGAGAAGGGGTTTCATCATGTTGACCAGGCTGGTCCTGAACTCCTGACCTCAGGTGATCCACCTACCTCAGCCTCCCAAAGTGCTGAAACTATAGGCATGAGCCACTGCGCCTGACCAAACAATATTCTTTTAATTTTTTATTTCCTTAGGTTTTGGGGAAATAGATGATATTTGGTTACATGAGTAAGTTCCTTAGTGATGATTTGTGAGATTTGGGTGCACCCATCACTGGAGCAGTATACACTGAACCCAGTTTGTAGCCTTTTGTCCCTCAACCCCCTCTCACCCTTTCCCCTGAGTTCCCAAAGTCCATTATATCATTCTTATGCCTTTGCATCCTCATAACTTAGCTCCCACTTATGAGTGAGAACATACAATGTTTGGTTTTCCATTCCTGAGTTACTTCTCTTAGAATAATAATCTCCAGTTACATTCAGATTGCTGCAAATGCCATTAGTTTCTTTCTATGGCTGAATAGTATTCCATTGTATGTATACATATATACCACAATTTCTTTATCCATTTGTTTACTGATGGGAATTTGGGCTGATTTCATGTTTTTACAATTGCAAATTTTACTGCTATAAACATGCATGTGCAAGTATATCTTTTTCATATAACTTCTTTTCCTCTGGATAGATACCCAATAATGGGATTGCTGTAAAATGGTAGTTCTACTTTTAGTTCTTTAAGGAATCTCCACACTGTTATCCATAGTGGTTGTACTAGTTTGCATTCCTACCAGACGTGTACAAGTGTTTCTTTTTTCTAGTGTCTCAAGGTTCTCACACAAGGAATTCTTGAATTTTGAATTGGGTACCTGGATTGTAGTCCTGATGAAGCACCTGTTGGTGCTGGTCTTCCCCAGGCCCGGGCCCAGATAACTATGCATCATAATACTGGTGGCATGTTTTTCCCAGCCAAGATAGGGAATTTGTACATCCCAATATGGGTAGTGTAACCATGCATCACATATATATGACAAGTTATTCTGTTCCCAAGCCCAGGTAGGGTAATCACATACCCCAATTAGGGTGACATACTATCCCAGCATAATTATTCATCATCAGCCTTGCACTCAAAAGCATCCTAGTTTGGGTATAAATTATATAGTCACTTAGATATAAGTACTCCACCTATAAACTTCATTGTGTCCAATTTCTAAATCAAACCAAACCACCCAAACAAGAGTAGAACCTAGAATTAGGCCAGGCTCAGTGGCTCATGCCTGTAATCCCAGCACTTTGCGAGGCCAAGGCATGCAGATCACGAGGTCAGGAGTTTGAGACCAGCCTGGCCAACATGGTGAAACCCCATCTTTACTAAAAATACAAAAATTATCCGGGTGTGGTGGTGTGCGCCTGTAGTCCCAGCTACTTGGGAGGCTGAGGCAGGAGAATTGCTTTAAACCGGGAGGCAGAGGTTGCAGTGAGCCAAGATCATGCAACTGCACTCCACCACTCCACTCCACTCTGGGCAACATGGTGAGACTCCATCTCAAAAAAAAAAAAAAAAAGAACCTAGAATTAACAATTTTCCCATTACATAGAATTTTGTTTTTCTGGACTCCAGGCCACTTTGTGCCAGCCATAGTTGTTTCCTAACTTCCACCATATTGATCCAGTCCATGTGACAGCACATGTGCCCGAGACTCTTGTTCTATTCTTTAGGGTCCCATTGGAGCTAAACTCAGTCATAAGTTCAGATGAGTTTGCCATAAATCCCTGTCATTGTTCCCCCATGTACTCCTGGCTACTTGATAGGGCCCTGCTAGATTGTTCAAAACTATGACATTATCACCAACACTTGAGTGTAATACATCACATCTGAAACCTCCAACGGTGGTACCTATCTCCCCTCTATCCCCTCAGGCCTGGAGTTCCCTACACACTGGCAGTAGCCTCACCACACATACCTGGTTCCTGAAGATTAAATGATTCACTTCTCCCACAATGACTATAGCCACATGGGTTATGAGGCCAGATAACTACTTGTGTGACCTTTATCAATCACCTCTCATTATGAATCTCAGTTAACTCATCTCTGAAACAAGCTGGCTGGTCTGGATGATGAGGCCTCACTTCCCAAATATCTCTTAAATGTGGGGTCTTTTTCCGTATTATTTTTTTAATCTCCTTCGGAACATGATAGAGAACCTTGAACATGGTTGGAACTCAAATGTATGTTACATAAGATTTTTGAATCAGTGAGGCATTTAAGCCTAAAAAAATTCAAAATTAGACTTTGAGATGATGGGAAATTAAATAAATCTAAGGAGTGAAATGATCTGGTCAAAGCAGCAAGCACTATAGAGAAATAAATTCACATCATTTTCTAGCACTATGACTAGTGAACTAGCATTGCCAATAATAGCTAACGTTAGACATTTACCATGTGTGAGAGGCAGCTCTCAGTAGCTCACACCAACCCTATGAAGTGGGAACTGTTATTGTCTCTACTTTATAGTGAGAAAACTGAAGTACAAAGGGGTTAAAGAGCTTGCCTGAAGTCCCCCAGGAAGCAAGTGATGTATTAAGACCCCAGTAGTCTTTGGGAGGCTGAGGCGGGTGGATCATGAGGTCAAGAGATCAAGACCATCCTGGCCAACATGGTGAAACCCTATCTCTACTAAAAATACAAAAAATTAGCTGGGTGTGGTGGTATGCGCCTGTAGTCCCAGCTACTCGGGAAGCTGAGGCAGGAGAATTGCTTGAACCCAGGAGGTGGAGGTTGCAGTGAGCCAAAATTGCACCACTGCACTCCAGCCTGGCGCCTGGCACCTGGTAACAGAGCGAGACTCTGACTCAAAAAGAAAAAAAAAAAGACGCCAGCAGTCTAGCTCCAAAGTCCATGCATTTAAACACTAGGTCAGCCTGCCTCTCTCTCTCTTTCACAAGCATTTGCTCACCTGAACATCCTAACACCAGGTTATTATGCACCCAGCAGAAACTGAGGCCCAGAGAGGCTTAAAGATCACCCAGTGTCCCACAGGAGCCTCAGCGCACTACAACACACTTTTGAAATGCCATTGACAGCCGACTGCTGAGAAAAGGCACAGAATAAAGTGGAAGTGCCATTGGGGGACAGTGGCTCTGGAGAGAATAAAAACCAACAGTAAATTGACAGGAAGGGGTGTTTGTGGGGGGACACAATGAAGCAAGAAGTGACAACCCTGGGCTATCACCTGAAGGGATGGTCAAGGCGAGGAAGAAGCCTGCAGAGGCCACAGCGCGCACAGTGAGGACCTGGAGGATGGGAAGGTAGGCACGGAACAGTTTAGGAAGGACAGAAAAAAAATGTTGTTTGCCATCGCATACATTTTTAGCACCAATATAACGTTACAGAAAAACATACATTTTGAAGCCAGGAAGTTGACTCTTGGATTGGGACGGTTTGACCGAAGCAGCATTCGCAAGAGAATCTGGTATGGCGAGTGCCACATAATAGGCACTCAATAAATGTTTGTTCCAAATAAAAGAGACAAAAAGAGAAAAATCTGAGAATTGCTTTCATAAAGAGAAAGGCACCTAAGGGAGTAGATGCTCAATAAATATTATTTTTTTATCTGTGTGTGGTGAGAAGCCTGGGGAGCTGTAAAAGATTATCTGATCCATTTCCAAAGAGCCCTGAGCCTCTGATTGCAATTCTCACAAATTCCCAGGGAAGGCTGTGGAATTCCTCTCTGGGGACTTACAAACACACTTTCAGAAGCGCCACTTGGAGGGAGTGGTTTAGACCATTTCAAAATGGATGAATTGAGGCAGAGAGGCTAGACCGAATGACCCTGTGGTCCTCTTCATTTCTGATGTCCATGTAATCCCCTGAGAAGCTGAAGTTTCCACTCTGCTCCCCCATGGCACAGAGATGAACCAAATGGGGGACCCACAGACATTATTGTCCCACCAACCTGAGGACGGCTGAGTGATTTGGAAGCCTTCCAGTAGGGTCTGGTTAAATCACAGGCCATTTATTTTGTGAAGAAATAAACCACAGAGAGCCCCTTTCAAACATGCACGCAGAAATCAGGACAAAATGCCGAGGAGATTATCTGCTAAGAATTTGCTTTAAAAGAGCCTCATTTATTTTTGAGAAAATATATGATTAACCAGAGTTAACTATGAATTCAGATATTGTGCATTAGACCAGCTCCTCAAAGTTTGAGCGCATTTAATATTATATATCGCTGCCATTTGGACTAAATTGTTTTTTTAATGTACACAATATTACAAATTTAATTTGAGCTGTTTGAATCAGTCTGTAAAAAAGATTTGATTATACCTGAGTGTTCTGGCCCCAGCGTTTCCGTATCTCAGTAATCTTGACGGTAATTGGCTGATTGGGCATCTCACACTCCATCTCTGCCTCAGTTTCCATGGTAATGTTACAGGAGCTATTATAGATGAGAACTTCATCTCTTTCCACTTTAGGGCTGAAACGAGAGGGGAGGTTAAATGGGGTGTCATCAATCTTAATGAAATGCAATTATTTTTACTCTTATTAATCATTGCAAGCCATTAGCTTGTGGCAACTACAGGCCACCATTTGTCAAATTTTGCAAATTTCCGTAATTTTGTTTCCATTCTTTTATTGTTTATTTGTTTTTCCTTTTATCTGCACACCCTGCAATGAAAATGCAAGTGGTAAATATCTTTCAGTGAGGCCTTTCTCTTTTCCGAATCTATTAAAAACATTAGCAAAAGCAACTCTGAGCCCAGCTTAACAAGCAATGCATGGACAATACTTCCAGTTCCAAAAAGGGAAACAAATGTTGGGGAGAGTTTTTGTTGTTGTTCTTTTTTTCTTTTCCCCTTCCCTCTTCCTGCTCTTACTCATACTTAGTGTTGGGGGAGTAATTGCCTGAATCCCCCTAGGGCAGATGGAGAAATTGGAAAACCCACGCAACTGGCTAACTGGTCCCTAATTCCAACTGTGAAAAAATGAGCTCATTTAGGCTTTCAATTCCCTCTCCCCAGCTGATGGCAATGAGGCTCTGTTGCTAGCAGTGGAACATTAACTTAGTAAATTAATTAAACTTACTTAACAGCCCAGACTAAGGAGATTCGATATATGTGCCAGTTATACTACCAGCCACTTGCTTTAAAAGTCCTCTTGCTTTAAGGGGAGAAGCCAGACTGGATTTAAAATAAAAAACAGCAGTGTAGCATTATGGAAAGTCTAAAAAATATGCCATCTAGAGGAGGTGAGGGCAGGGATAAGGAAGGGTGTCGTCCCCAACAGGTGTGATATTTATTCAAGAATAATCCTGGCTTGAGACATTTTTTGCTACTAACTCAAAAATTATCAGTAATAATGCATGATGTTTTATATTTGTCAACAATTCCATATGCATGATCTCATTTCAGCGTATAAATTAGGAAGAGGTGTAAAAAATGTAACCCAAAGAGACCAAGAGAGTCTCAGAAAGTCAAACACAGAACTACTGTAGCTCTGAGGTCGAAACCAGATGGTCCTGTTTCCTAGAGCAGTGCTCTCAAGGTTTGAAATGCTGATTGAACATCAGCCAGGAAGATGGCAGATCCCATTAGAAGACTAGGAAGGGTGAAGACAAGGGCAAAAACTGTGAACCATGTCAAAGCCTAGCATCGTTTTTCAAATCCATTTTTAAATGTTTTTTCCCCACAATTTGCTAGAAATAATGAGCAGGATAACTAGTACATCTCACCATTTAGTATTCTCTTCTTCATGCTAAAATATTCTCTACTCTGCATCTACCTAAGACATGACTTCTAAACCCAGAGTCCTCTAGACCTACTAATATAGACTGTCAATATGTTAACATCAGGCCACCTAGATTTGAAGGCAGATTGTTTGGGCTGACCACTGAGGCTCTGGTCCACCTTTATCTGAGCCTCTTTCTCGCGGCACCTAATACCGTGTTCATTTGGAAGGCCACTGGGTTCATACTTAGATAGCGGTCAACTCAAAGTCTCCGAGATGCAGTTTTCTGAGGATTTCACCATGCTGTGTTTGTTCAGATGATTTTCTGAGAAGCACTGGCATGTAAGTCTTAGGCTCAGAAGCAGATTAGCTGGATCTGAATCCCAGGGCGGATGGTTACCGTCTATGTGACACTGAAGACGTTACTTCGCTAAGCTTTGGTTTCCACATTTATAAAATTGAGTTGCCAGTAATTGAGTACCTATTTTGTGGAGGTGTTGAAGAAATTGAGCGAGATGAAGCATATAAATCGATTAGCATGGAATCTGGAACACAATAAGAATCCAATAAAGGCAGCTCGCGTTATAGCTGTTGGAGGTAGTAGTGTGTATCATTATTATTAAAAATGTAAATGTGACAATTTACATTTATCATTGTTACATTTCTTCCACTGGTTTAGACCCATTGCTCGAATATGTTTTGAATCTGTAGCCAGTGATCTAGCTATAAATCCATTAGCTGATCCATCATCCACGGGGTAGATAAAGCCACAGGATGAATCTAGCCTTTGCTCCTGGAACGTCGGTCATATTCCAGGATTCAGAAAGGAAAAACAAAGTAATTTAACTTTTAAATTAAAATTTAATGCAATATTTAGATCAATATGGAAATGTGATGGAATCAAATGCAAAATTCACGTGGACTTTTAAAACACTTCACTTCAGAGCAACTTGAGGCTTGCGTCAAGCCACTTTGAGCTTTGCACCTAAAACCTTTTTTTGCTGCTGGGGGTGGAGAAGTTGTTGGAAACGTTTGTGAAGCTCTCCCTCTATATTTATAGCAAAAGTCACTTTTAAAGCTATCAGAAAGGAAATTAAGTTGGTTTCCCACACCATCACACTCTGCATGAATCGGTTTCCAGATTGCTACTTTCAATTCTGAAGGCTCACAAACCATCTGATGAATAGTTCATTCTAGAATTCTGTCAGGAATAACATCAAGAATAGTTGTCTAAATTTCCAGAATTCCTCCTTTTTTGTTAGGTTCATAGAATATCTGCTCATCACTTCTATTATGTGACCCCTTCTCATGGTTCATTGTCAGCAGTAGGTCTTCAACCATAAGAGCAAGTTTTTTGTACCCAGTTTATGAATGATCTGAGACTACAGACTTGAACTCAAGGGAAGTAGTGACCAACTTCCTTTACAGCCTTTCTTGGCCTCAGGCTTCCACTCTCCTCATAAACCTTCTTATGCCCTTTCCTGACTCTTTACTGGCAAAGGTACAAGTAAAATGGGCTGAATCACTCTGCCTTCTGTTTGCCTGTTAGAAACACACTGTCTTTGCTAAGCATGTTATTCTTGCTCTGAAGAGAATTAATCCTTTTTCTGTTAGCTTGGACATTTTGTTTACCAGCTTCAGCTCACACTTCTTTCCATATTTGTAACTACCTTGCTAGAAATTTTTTTCATTAAAAAGCCATCACCAAAATAAGCTGAGACACTAGGATATCCAAAATAGATTAACATTTACAAAATTTCAAAGCTTCTAAATAGCTAGCTACCCTTCCATGGTTTCTTCCACAATAATCCTATGAGTTAAGAAGCACAGTTGGCCATATTTAAATATAAATGTAAGCATATATATCTGCAATATAAGGTTCTATATATATGCAATATAAGCATAAAGAGATTGATGTGTATATAGATATAGATGCATACACACTGCACACAAATATTTTGGGGGATGTGGTTTAAAAAAATTGGGTAAAATGGTGGCAAAGATTGTTCTAGAATCTAAGACTCCTGACTCCCAAACTATTGTTCTTTAGTTGATCTGATCAGATCCTAAAGCAAGCAAGTAATCTTGGCTGTGCTCCTTAGGATAGGGAGGGAAAACACTTTGCAGGCATTCTCTCTCCCTTACTTACCCTGAAATTGCTTCCTGTGGCTCTGAAACCTCATGGAACCCATACAGCTCAGCCAGAGCTCTCACCAGGACTCTCATGCTGAGGCGGCCAGCACGGCATTGCACTAAGCACACCGCGTCAGAAGCCTTGCGTTCCAGTCCCGACATTGCCATGGCTTGAGTGTGTGACTTTGGAAAGTTACTTAATCTTCACTTAGAAGAGAATCCAAAGTCGACTTTGGCCTTCGATGCCTCACATATCTCTCCTCACGTGCTCATCAGGGGCCACTTTTCCTCCTCCTCACTCGACTCCCACCCTCCTGGCCTCTGAACACTCATCAAACTCGACAGTTCTTTTGCATTTGCTGCTGCCACCGCCTGACCCTCCATAATGACACCTGCTTCTCTTCTTAACATAAAAGACTTCTTCAGAGAAGCCTCCACTGAGTACACTCTCTAAAGTAGCCCCCCTTTATTTTTCCATCACTTTAGAGCACTTAACACAATACATGATCATCTTGTTTATTATCTGACTTTCTTCTCCACCCACAAGGGCAGGGACTTTCATGACATCCACCACTGAGCCACCAGCACCTGTCACAACACCTAGAACAGAGTAGGGATGTGATCAATACTGGATAGACGGATGGATCATGGATGGATGGATGGATGGATGGATGGATGGATGGAAAGATGGACGGATGGATGGATAGATGGATGAACATACGGGGTATAATTTTTGCGACAGATACACTTCTCCCTTTGCCAAATGACATCCTACCCCATAGTCATTGTGGATGGCAGGGAGACACAGCATTGCGTTCCCTGGAAAAACACATACAAACTCAATGAAGAGAAAAATAGGATCAGTACTCCAGCCACCTAGAGACAGGCACCATTAACATTCTTGGACATATCTTTCCAGTCTTTTCTCTAGTAACCTATCTGTGTACAAACATAGGTTTTGTACAACAGTAGGATCAAACTGATATGCTATTTTGAGACCTGTGATTATCACTTCTCCGTATGTTATAAACATTTTCCTGTCTGGTTAAATATTCTGCATCCTGATTTTCAAAGGTGACTTAGTATCATATCATTTGGATACATTCTTTATTACTAAAGCTTGTTTCATTTCAAATATTTTTTGATATCTGAAACTTTAAAGATTATTTGTAAATATTACACATTTCTATCTGCTTTCTTAAAATAAAATCCTAGAAGAGAAACTGCTGGGTTACAGAGTATAAAAAATTTAAGGTTATTCGTGAATTGGCAAATTGTCCTCTGAAGATTGTACTACCTTACCTTCCCACTGGCAGCAAAGACCACTGCCAGTTCCCCTGACTCTCATCCTCACTAAGCTTTGTTTGTTTAAATCATAGGGTACTTATTGTAATTCTTACTCCGGAAAACATACCCATTTTTCCCTACTTCAATAGCCAGAACATTCACCAGCACTACTGAAATGATATTCATAGGTAAAAGTATAATCATTCATGGGGTTTGAGGCTCAGTTACCTCAGCCGCCCCATAGAATGAAGAGGAAGAACATGGAAGAACTCCAAAGGAAGAGTTTTGGGGATTGAGATGAAGTCTCTGAATTCAATGGAGGCAGGAACTACTGACATGTACTTCCTGGTGTCCAGCATCAGTAAGTTCTGAAATCCAGTCTCACCTGAGTACAATACCCAGTATTCCATTTCCTGCGTGACCTAAACAGAGTTCTTCTTGCCCTTTTAGAAAGCAACCAGCCAAGGAGGTTCCTCTTCTACTGCAGCTAAACCTAAACTTCTGGTGCTATATTCACACTAAAACACAAACCGTCTCAGGATATCACAAAGTCAGACTGCCATGAAAAGATCTGGTTATCTCTTTCATAGTGGGGAAGTGGTCTTGTTTAGTTTCATATTTTAATAAGAAAAGAGGCCAGGTGCAGTGGCTGATGTCTATAATCCCAGCACTTTGGGAGGCCAAGGTGGGTGGATTACTTGAGCTCAGGAGTTTGAGACCCGCTTGGCCAACATGGCAAAACCCTGTCTCTACTAAAAATATAAAAATTAACCAGGCATGGTGGCACACACCTGCAATCTCAGCTACTTGGGAGGCTGAGGCATGAGAGTAGCTTGAACCTGGGAGGCAGAAGTTGCAACGAACCGAGATCGTGCCATTGCACTCTAGCCTTGGCAACAGAACAAGGCTCTGTCTCAAAAAAAAAAAAAAGAAGAAGAAGAAGAAGAAGAAGAAAAGAAAAAAGAGGGCTTCATTAGATAATCAAAGGTAGCCACTCTATCTAGGTAAGAAATAAAGAAGTTTACAGGACAATGTTCAGCCATGAGACATCACCCTGCACAGGAAAAGAACTCCTTGTTGAGATGAAAGCAATCCAGAATTACAAACATGGTCACACTTCTTTTTGATTTGTTTAGAAAAGGGGGGTTAACTTGGAAAGCTGTGGTATTTATTTGTCAGCCTCTTTTTTTAAGTTAAAAAAAAATTCCTTATAAGCTTATGGCTTCTAAATCCTAGATCTACAGTAATTCTGCCTATGCAACCCCCCTTCTTTTGAATAAACATTGTACAATCTGCTGGATTTCTCTATGACATTTTTTCATACTTGTGAATCTGTTTGGAAAGAAAAGAAAAAGGAAAGGGGGGGGAAGCCTTCTGTTTTTCATAACGTCTAATCTTTTTCCCCATTGGCATTCACCAGATGTTGCTTTGGATCGGAAGATAAATATTAAAATCTAAGCAAGAACAAAGCTAGCTGTTTACTGGGCAGATTTTTCAGATGTTCTCTTGAACAGTTGAAAAAGACAGGAGATGCTTTGATATGCAGGCTGGCTGGAATCCACAATGCAACGGGCCCTCCAAGAGAGCTGTAGTCTCCCCATCCACCCAGCCTCCACTCTCTGATGGCTCCATTGGTCCATTGGCCAAGCACTTGTGGGGAAGTTCAAGGAGGGAAAAGGTAGGGTTACCTGATAAAGAGGCCTGAGAACGATGGAAACATTGACTCTGCCCAATGATCTGGCACAAAGAGGCATTGGGAACTTTCCTCGCAAATGTAGAGGTAAGGCCACGATTTGAGCAGTTGCTCTGTCCCCACGGCAACTGTAAAATCACACTGCACATAGGTGTGTCTGGCGGCCTCACAGCTGTCCTCCTCATGCTTCACGTCACACAGGAAAGTCAAGGACACTGCAGGAAACAGTCACTGTTAGGAAAGAACCACGGAAGAACTGAAGGCCTCCAGTCAGTTTCACAAATGAAGTTCCTGTGTCCTCCCTTGACCAATAGGAAAATGAAAGTATCAGTTTACTTTTTTAAAAATATATTACATGTGATGTACACAGAAAAATACAAGTATCATTTTGTAAAATATAAATCTTCATAAAAAATCTCATGTGAATATCCCAGCCAATGTAAGATCTAAAATACCTTTAATACCCTTAAATCTGTGTGTTCCTCCCCGTCTGTCCTTTTCCTCCTCATTCTCAGAAATAACCACTTGGCATTTTTTAAATAGTTTTATCACACATGTTTGTATTCCTAAACAAAAGATTGAGTTTCACCTGTTTTTTGAACTTTATAAAATATGATACATGATAAAGTATTCTTGGACCTGCTTTTTTCATTCCATAGTATATTTCCAAGATTTATCCATATTACTACATATAACTATTGTTAATACATTTTCACTGTTGTGCAATATTGTATTGTATCCAAGATATATTTATCTATTATCAATGAACTTTTTGATATTTCCCAGTTTTTGCTACTAAAAACATGTACAAAATTTTGTCTAGGGTGCATGCCTATAAAGAAAATTTCTTATTCAAAGAGTAGGTACACATTCAACTTTACAAGATAGTGCCATACTGTTTTCCAAAGTAGTTGTGCCATTTTAGATTCCTACCAGCCATATTTATAAGTTCCCAGTATTCCATATAAACACTTGAAATTATCAGACTCTTAATTTTTGCCAATCAGGTGTATAAAATGGCATTTTATTGTGGTCTTAATTTGCATTTCAATCATTACTTTTAGGTTGACCAATTTTTTTTTTCTTGAGACAGTTTCACTTTATTGCCCTGGCTGGAGTGCAGTGGCACAATCTTGCCTCACTGAAACTTCTGCCTTCCTGATTTAAGCAATTCTCCTGACTCAGCCTCATGAGTAACTGGGACTACAGTTGCACACCACCAACTCCTGGCTGATTTTTTGTGTTTTAGTAGAGACAGGGTTTTATCATGTTGCCCAGGCTGATCTTGAATTCCCAAGCTCAGGCAATCAGCCTGCCTCAGCCTCCCAAAGTGCTAGGATTACAGGAGTGAGCCACGATGCCTGGCCAAGCTGACCAATTTTTTAACTTATGTTTTCTCTTCTATGAAATTCCCATTTCTGTGATTTGCCCATTTTTCTATTGGGCTATTTGTCTTATTGACTTGGATAAGTTTAGAGATTTCTTTTCATATAATTATAACAATTAACATGTTATAGAGATAAAAAGAAAATATTGGAAGCACACTGACTCTCAGGCTGTTTTTTTCTGGGTCATGAGACATACGAAAAGCATCATGAGGCAGACTGGGAATGATCTTTAACTAGAAGATGAACAAAGAGCTACATGAGATGGTTTAGGAGCAGCTCTGTCTGAAAACCTTAATAAAGAGGGAAAAAGAAAAAAATCTCTGTAGCATGCTTGCTCTGCAGCAAGCCTACCCATGTTGGTATGCAACAAAGGTTATCAAGGGCCATGAGCTTAGACCTGTGCTTCCCTACCTCATTACCGTATGGGCTTAGACCTGTGATTCTTTACCATGCTGCAGCAAGGGCTGAGTGAGATAAGTATGGGGAAAAGGGTTTGTAGTTATGCAATCATGCCCAAATAGTATTATTGTTGCTGTTATAGTCTAAAGCACCTGGCACCTAGGAGGTTGGCTATGAATGTGTTTTGAATGAATTAGAGCAATAAAAATGACTGACAGTAGGACTCTTGTATGAACAGACAAAATGTAAGAACTTTCCAGTTAGTAAGCCCTAAGGCAAATAAAAACAAGCTCCACACCTATAAAATAATGAATTCGTTAAAGGTGATTAAGTAGATGCAAATTGACAGGCTGGATTATGAAAATCACCCAGGGCTGGGGATCAAAATCCATGGGTTTTACTCAAAGTTCTGCCACTAAATAGCTGTGTGACCTTAATCACTTTAGCTTTCCATGCCTTATGGAAAAGCTGAAGTTTCCATGAAAATGTCATGTGGTATAATTCAAGGTATAAATGCAAGAAAGCCAAAGATCAAAGATTTTGCTCATTGTAAACAAACACAAAGTATTAGTTTCACCTAACAGGATGTTTCGGCAACTCATTATAAGAAAAAGTAAATTTCTCCTATTGTTAGAAGTACAGTTTGTGGGGATGGTAACAATGGGTGACCCCCAAAATAGCAAAAGCGCATTTGTAGAGCTCCCTGCTTTAAATCCCCCTGCCCCACTCATGTAACGGAAACCTATTAGTCCTGTGGCACAGGCACAAACAAAACAATAATTAGGAAAGTTTGAGTTCTGGGTCATTATCTGTAACCTGGAATGTGAAACATCACTCTATTGTGCAAAGTCAAGCTGAAGAAAAAACTCGAAGCACGGGTCAGAATTCAAAGTGACCTTGCTAAATAAGAGAAGTTAACAGATATAAACAAAAGAACAAATGAAAAGAGTAAGGGAGTAAACTACAAAAGAAAAAAGAAATCATATAAATTTGAGGAAAGTCCAGCTGTGCACAGCCATGGCAGAAACGCGCGCACACACACACACGCACACACACACACCCCTTGAGATAACAGTAGGTAACAGCAGGCTTATTAGCCAGCAAGACTGCAGTATAATTTTACAAACAAATATGGGATCAGACAATACACAGGCATCTTATGATGCTACCCAATTTGGCCAGAACTTGCTTATATAGAAGAGCTTCCTTGTTTGGGGCTTCAAATTAGGAAAGAATGTAGGATTTCAGAGAGGGCTGAGAAGTGGGACACTAAAATGTTTACTCGGAAAGTCTCTGATTCAGTAGGTCCGAAGAATTCACATGTCTAACAAGCTCCCAGGTGAGGGCCCTGCAGCTACTGTGCCGGGAAGCACACTTCCAGAACCTCTGCCTTAAAGGAACTGAGATTACTCAGCTTTCCAAAGAACCACCCGCTGATTAAAGTTGAAAAAAGTAGAGTAGGGAAGCATCCATTAGGCAGAGGATGGATTTCTCGGAGAAGAGCAACTGTGAAACACTTGTAAGGGTTGCTGCTGGGAAATTCTCCTCTGAAAAATCCTTAAAAATACGACTGATTCTTAGCTAACTTGGTTGTATTCAATCCTGTCTGAAAATAAAGAAATTCATAGTCGTTTCTAACAATGTCCAAGACATATCCCCTTTGGCAATTTGATGTCCATTATATATCTACTTCCTAGGGGAAAAAAAATACACTATCATATACTAAAAATGCTTCATCCAGTTTCAGCGGGTTCAACAGAATCCCCAAATCTCCATCTTGGATCTTAAGTAAGAAACCTGTGGAGCTGGCTCTCACAAGTTCCTCTCAATCTTTAGACATTGTGATTAAAAGTCTTTTAAAACACTTTTTAATGAAAGGAAAATTAGCCAAATTATGCATTTCTCTACAGTAAATGTGTGCCTTGCACAATCAATGAGTGTTTAGTGACACCTAGTGGTCACATAAATAGTTACAGTTTCCAACTCATTTTCCTCTTTAAAAAATCAAGGAATGTTATTTTCTAAAAATTAATCACATCTTTCTAAATACCATATTTTTTTAATTCTTCCCCTAGAAGTTATAAAACTTAAAATATCGCAATTTACCTGACCCTAAAACCTCATTGGTTTTTATCTTATGCTAGTTGAAATTAAGTGTTTTGAAATAATAACACAGGGCTTTTTAAAGTGTATTAATTTGAGCAGTGTATATGTGAAAGCTTTTTTAAAAAAATGTGGCAGTATTAGTTAAAAATTAGAACCTAGAAATGTGCAGTCTTAGCTTTCTGTTTCCACTGTTTCCCAATCTTTCATTTATTCCTCATCAAACATTCATTTTGCATATACCCTGTACAACACTGTTCCAAGCAGAGGAGGTAGAGCCGTGAATCAAACAAATCAAACAAATCAAGACAATGTCTTGAACTTCAATCTTCTATTGTATCTTAAGTTTCCCACTGTGGAATCTCTCTCTCCTCCATAGTGTTGTGCTTATATACATGATGATAATAGGAAATTCACTTTCTAGTACTTTAAACAAAAATTTTATCTCCTCTCCTTCTTCCTCCTCTAACCCTTTCTGCTTCCTCCCTCTCCTCCTCCTCTTTGTATAAGACAACACAGTACAAACTTCCATCACAATAGCATTATCCATCATAAAATTCTTGTCCAAGCTCAGATGATGTGGCGCTTTTGTCACTTCGTAAATCTTTAGCCCACATTCAAGTTGCAGACAAATAAATTAGGAATAAAAACTTAAAACATGACATAGAAAGGAGGTGTGTAAATGTAAATGGTTAAGTGCACAGGTACAAGATCTATGATTATGCAAATAAGATAATCACCTGGCTGGCTACATGTGAGCTATCTCAAATGCAGTAAGGTCCTGTGATAATAATAGTAATTTCTTCCCTTTGACTTTTTTTTTTCCCTGAAGCTCAGTGGGGTATTACCACGTGTTGTAAAACCCCAAGCTTTGCAACTTCCTCTCTCATCCCTTTCCCCACAAAGACATGGATTCTTATACCACAATTTATATGATGGCTACGCAGCTTAAAGTAGTAAGCAATTGTGGTGTTTTACTAAGAAGTAATTATGTTACTATTGCAGAATGAGAAGACAATATGAGTGCTGGCTTTTTGGCCTATAATAAGAAATTGAAAACTTTACACACAAAGATAATTTTCAAGTGATATCCAGCTTGACAACCTCCATCCCTTTACTGGCACCTCTAAAAGCAGATGTGTCTTCAGCAACCTTACCTCAGAACAAAGCCAAGAGCTTGTTTCCTCCATGACTCCTATAGCTGTCATTGAAACTAATATTCTGAATTCAGAATGACTTCCTCCATCATCCTAAGACTGCAGCTAAGAACACAGGTGATAAGTTTTTCAATATTCATTCAATACTGACCTATTAATATGGCAAAAGTTATTATGAATCATTGTAACAGGTGGCCCCAGATTCTGTCATTTTAGATGGGGAGAAATTACATTCCTAGGAACACATAGAGAAATTAGTAGTCAGTAGAGCATCAATCACAAAAGCAGAATTAACCAAAGAATATCATTTCCATACATATGCTTTAAAAGGTATGTGTGTAACATCTTTACTTACCATCCAGGGGCAGAACCAAGCAGCTGAAGGCAGACACTGTAGCATTAGCCAGGACTCGGCAGGGAGCACCACACACAGCAGCTGAGACATTCCCTGGAGAAAATCCTGCTCCAAACACATGCACCAGCCTTCCACTCAGGCAGCCTTTAAAGACAAAGGTACAAGTTCATGATCATACAGGCAAACCTCCCTTCTTTAGGTAACTCAAAATTCAAACCTTTGCTTCCTCACTACCCATCCTTCTTTTCACGTCCTCAGAATCCACACAACTGGCTTCAGGTGCCTGCTGGCCTCAGTTTCCTCCCCACTTAGGCTCTGCCCTCGTTTCTGTCCAATCCCAATCGCATTCAACACCCTATTGTGTTAAAGAGGTGTTTTTTTAATGTAACAATTTTTATATAGAAAATTAATGCTTATGGTTTTTAAACTTTTGTTCAAAGAGCCATGAAATGAAAGTAAATATTCCCCCAACCACCTGTCTCCCTCCCCAGAGGTATCCAGGTATGGAGTTTCTTATACCTTCTTCCAGAAGTTTTAAGCATCTATGTTTCTGATTCAAAGGATTATTGTATCCATATTATTCTGGAACTTGCTTTTCTGCTTAAAAGTATAGCACAGATATGTTTTCAAACCTCTCTGGATCCAGTTCATTTCAAGAGCTTCCTAGAATTCCATTACAGGGCCTTGCTACAATTCATTTAACAATTTTTCTATTGATAGAAATTTCGATGATTTTTCCCCTTCTGCTATGGTTAATAGTGATGCAATAACTGTACATGTTTTGGGAGATTTGTATGAGTGAAACTAGTCCACGTTTCTAGTTCATACCGAGACACAGTCTAGGTGGTACTTAGCCACCTGACTAACTCAAGAATAATGCTTTTTGTTTAAGACGCATTTCCTATTTCCCTGCTCTTCCATCATAAAAACACATGGAATCTTAGGGAGTAGAAAGGGGAATTTGGGAGTCATCCAGCTCAAACTCCTTTATCAAATAAGGAAGCTGAGTCTTAGAAAAGTCAAGTGTAAATTAGCTAAATTAGTGACAGGCTAGGGCCAAATCCCAGTTCCCACAGTGTTCCACCAAACGGAGACCAAATTTGTTCTAGGAAATGACTTGGTTAGTACTCTATCAGTCTAAGGTTCTGTTTCTATAATTTTTTCTATACTTTATAAATCACAATGAAATTTGAGCTATCTCAAGTGCAATAAGGCTTTAAGTCAACAGAAATTGAAACCTATTCTTCACTGGAAGAAAAGACTAGGCAAATTTTGGTATATCTAATGGGAGAAAAAAAATTCAACCCATTTAATTGTTCTATGCATTTGGCTTATTATTGGTGAAATATGAGTTTCACCTGTGAAATATTATAAAATGATTAAAAATTAATCACATTTAATAAATGTTAAACAATGCAAATTGGCAGATAGGGTCTAAAAACTAGGTGAAGGCATTTATGTTCTTAAATGATCAAATTATGAGCTTTACAAATGGTGTTTTTAAAATACAAATCCAGTTAATGCATCAAATTAAAATACAATCAAACATTTAGAGAATATGCGAAATTTCATTGATTAAAAAAAAAAAAAGCTTCATAAACAGAGTATAACCAAGACAAGCCTCAGGAAAGAATTGGGATTGTAAGAAGCCTGAGGGCTTCTCTTTCCTTCCATGAGGCAGATTCAGGTTAATTTTCTACTTCCCAGAAGTGAAAGGTGCTACCAACTGATTTACATAAGAAAGTGTACTACCTTGCTTGACTTACCAAAGTTCTCAGTCACAGCTGTGATAATAACTCTTGAGGTGAACACCTGGACAGATGAGGCCCACCCTCTGATGTAGTCATAGGCTCTGACATGGTACTCCCCGGCCGGAAGGGAAGGGACCACACATTGGAGAACGGTGTGGTTACCAGAGACACCCACGCAGGGTGACATCCCTACAAAAATGTCAATGTTTGCAGCTCCTGAGATCTGGGCCACTGCAAAAGTTAAGATGTCATCCCTCTGAGAAATAGAGAGCAGTTCTGGGGTAAAGGCATTGCTGTAACCAACGACTCCTATGTGATACAAAAGTCCATCCACCTCTATTTCCAGAGCAACAGAGCCATTCCCTGTGGGAACAATGCACTGGATGAGCTCAGCACTGATGTTCACCATCAGGCAGGTCTGCTGGTCAATGTGGACAGACGTGGTGTTCTGTCCTCTCAGGCCTGTGCCCTCTATGGTCAAGAGGCCTCCGCCATGTATGCTGAAATTCTTAGGAAAATAATGAAACACTTGAGGCATAATGTAGAAGTGTCTGGAAACATTACCAGTACAAGCATATCCATTTCTTGCATAAAAAACTGACAGGTAGTGGAGTCCTGGGGCCAAGTCTCTCATCTGGCATGCCACGTGGCTTGCATTTAAAAAAGTTACATTGCAAGGAAGTTGATCATCCACAAATACCATCAGCTCATCAGCTGTGGTGCCTAACCTCTGACCCCTCATCAGCACAGTAGTCAGTGACCCACTGGTGTTTGTGGTCAAGGCGTCCATAACAGGACTTGCCTCTTCCTGCACGAAGAAAGTGCAATTGCCCTGACACTCACTGGTTAGCCCATTGACCAGGACTGTGACATTCAGGGTAAAGGAAGCTCCAGGCAAGGGGTCACCCGCCAGAGTAACCTGGCAGAGAATGGTACGGTCTCCCAAACGCAAAATCACACAAGTAAAAGGACCCGACAGGTCAACCCGAACTGACCTCCTTCTAGAGTTAAAAAGCAACCCCCTCACAGTAAGTATGGTCCCGCCGCATGCCGAGCCCTGCGATGGGACAATGGCCATTATCCGAGGTGTCATTGCAAATTGCTGGGGCACCGCAGACATATTAGCAAATCCCATCTGCTTGTGACGTACTTGGAGAGGATAGATGTCCGCTTCCAGACTGTGAAGAGGGATGGAGCATCCAGACAGGCTCGCGTTGCTCTGGAAGGACTGTGTATTGACATCGCAGTTCAGCCTCCCCAGGAGGATGACTGAGTTGGAGAGGTTACTTCCTCCCACACACAGGCGCACGCTGCTATTTGTGATTTCTGCTTGCAGGGCAGTGACGAGCGGTGTTGCCGCTGCTTCATACGTGAAGGTGAAACTGTTTCCCACCAAGCTTGGTGAAGGACCACTGGTGAAGGACCTGTTACCGACCCAGACCTCCACGGCAGCTGGGACAGTGGGAGTGCCTGCATGGGGCATCTGGGGGGCTGGCGGGGTTTCACACCAGATGCTCGCCTCCATTAAGTTCACAATATCACAGGACCGATTGCCTACAAGTACCCAAACCAAAGCTGGGTCCCTGCTGAAGCCTATTCCTGAGATGCTGAGGATGGTCCCTCCTAAGGTATGAATATAGAAAACAAAACATTACAGCTGATATTCTGAATTAAGACCTCAAACACCCATGAAATTCCCAGGGTAATTAAGCGGAAGGTAGGGCATGTGTTAGTGAAACCTCAATTATTTTTTCCCATCCCCACCAATGTTTAATTTGTGATTATTTGGACAGGAGTCAGATGTGGCAAATTCACATAACAGTAAAATAATATAAATGGTTATATAGGAAGGACATCGTTAATACAAACTTTTCCAGTACCTTTGTATATCCTAGAAGCCACCGCTTCGATCAACTTACAAACTAATGAAAAATCAAGTTTCTTAGTCTTCTTATTAAGTGATACATTATTAGACATATTATCCCATATGCCATATGTAGACTATTTATACATTATTCTGTATACATTCAACTTATATACTAATGAAAAGTCAAATTCATTGAAATCTTCTATCTTCTATGTTGTTCTATATAATGTTCCAATATTTCATATATTATACATTCTAATATATTCTATTTATTGTACCATATATTCTATATTCCATGTATATCAGAGACATATTAAAAGTCATTGAATCATGCTGGAGAATGTGCTGCTACCTTCATAGAATCTGCCTTACTCTCCAGTAGAGAGGCCACCAAAGATCAAACCCCATCTTCAGGATAGGATTGGAGCAAGATGACCCACAGCACAACCAAACTGTGCAATGCAGCTTTTAAGAGGATTTTACTATACTCAAAAAGGATAATGTGCTATCTTACACACGATCACAGTGTTCATTCACATGCCACTAGATCGCGTTCCATTTTTCTGAAAATAGTTTAGAGATTGCTCTATTTGTCTTGTCCTTCCATCTCCCATATCAGCTTGTGTATTTCTATTTCTGAGTCCTTCATCTGTATCCCTCATGGAAAGTGAAGACCCACAGACTCATTCCTTCCCACCTTGCACACACAGCACCTAAACGGTGAATGTAAGACATGCCTCCCTTGTTTTCCTCATATCTGCTCTAGAGTCTCACCCATCAGATGCTTTATCCTCTTTTCATTAGAAAAACAGGCACATCTCAGCCAGGCACAGTGGCTCATGCCTGTAATCCTAGCACTTTGGGAGTCTGAGGGGGGCAGATCGCCTAAGGTCAGGAGTTCGAGACCAGCCTGGCCAACATGGTGAAACACCATCTCTACTAAAAATACAAAAATTAGCCAGGTGTGATGGCAGATATCTGTAATCCCAGTTACTTGGGAGGCTGAAGCTGGAGAATCACTTTAACCCGGGAAGCAGAAATTGCAGTGAGCCGAGTTGGCACTATTACACTCCAGATTGGACAACAAGAGTGAAACTCGATCTCAAATAAAATAAAATAAAAAAGAAGAAAAAGAAAAAGGAGGCACATCTCCTTGTCGTAAAAAAATTCCCTAATTTCCTGAGCAAAGGAATCATCAAGTTTTGACATCCTTTTAAAAACACCCCTCAGTTCCTGGAGCCTGAGGAAAGTCTCTCTCCTGTTTACCCTCTCTACGACATCACCGGCAAATTAATCCTGAAACAAAATCTGAATATCCAGCGAATAGAATTTCTGGATACTTGATAACAGTCACATACATAAGGGTCACTCACCCAAGAGGGACCCACAGCAAGGCTCAATGCTGAAAACTTCTGTGATGTACCGGATGTGGAGATCAACCCTACATAGAAGATAGGGAGATGATTAGGAAATAGCTGATGGAGATAAGAAAGAGTGAGCCACAAGAGCCATATGTATTTTGGAGAGAAGAGAAAACTGTCTGTAAGGTCTCTAGGATTTGTTCAAATGTTACAATATTCATGTCTTTAACCCTTAACTTCAGAGGAAAAAAGAAAAGGCCTAACTCAAAACTAGAATTACCTAGCTGAATGCTAGACCATCAAACAAACCTAAAATTAATGCAAGTGGCCACCTCACCCTTGTGAGCGAATGCTGACCCCATTGATAGAGACGGAAATTCTGTGGAGGCCAGCTGGCAGTGGTGGCAGTGCCACCTCCAGGCCCCAAGCTGCCTGCGTGTGAACCGGAGCCAAGGCATCCTGGATGTGGACTTCCACATCCAAATCCGTGTAGTTCACCAGCAACGCCACTCCAATGACCAGAGTTTCACCGCCTGTGTTGAGAAAAGTCCATTAGCCTCTGAGATGTGAGTGTGTGGGCTCCACCGCCTATTCAATTCTAAAACTATCTTTTTGGATTAAATACACAGTCAGCCTTGTACGTAATACTCCAAGCATTTTGATACAAACCTAAATTTTTTGAGAAACTTCTGACAACTTTTTTTTTTTTTTTTGAGATGGGGTCTTGCTGTGTTTCCCAGCCTTGTTTTCAATGGCGCGATCTCGGCTCACCGCAACCTCCGCCTCCTGGGTTCAGGCAATTCTCCTGCCTCAGCCTCCTGAGTAGCTGGGATTACAGGCACGTGCCACCATGCCCAGCTAATTTTTTGTATTTTTAGTAGAGACGGGGTTTCACCATGTTGACCAGGATGGTCTCGATCTCTTGACCTTGTGATCCACCTGCCTTGGCCTCCCAAAGTGCTGGGATTACAGGCTTGAGCCACCTTGCCCGGCCAACACCTTTTTTTTTTAAGACAGGCCTTATTCTGTTACCCAGGCTGGAGTGCTGTGGTGCAGTCTTGGCTCACTGCAGCCTCAACCTCCTGGGCTCAAGCAATCCTCCCACCTCAGCCTCCCAAGTAGCTAGGATTACAGGCATGTGCCACTACGCCCAGCTAATTTTTGTATTTTTTTTTTTTTGTAGAGACAGGGTTTTGTCATGTTGCCCAAGCTGGTCTCAACCTCTTAGGCTCAAATAATCTGCCCACCTCGACCTCCCAAACTGCTGGGATTACAGGGGTAAACTATCTTGCCTGGCCTAACAACTCTTTTATCAGAGATATGGCCGATAACCTCAATGGTATAAAAACAAAAATTGGCAGGACAATCGTATTAAAGAGACATTAACTTATTTACATGCAATGGCAAATCAAGTAGTTTGCAGAGTTACCGGTCTTCATAACCAGCAAATAGCATCACATATTGGTTTCTTAACCTCCACTTTTCTACTAGTAGAAATCTGAAGCTATATCATGAGTGTGCACTGAACCATACGGTAATGCCACACGTGAGTTTAGTCGTTCACAACTGACAGAGTACTCTCATATATGTTATCCCACTTGGTCCACATACTATCCTGATGATTTATATGGGCCAATTAACATGACTGGCATTTTGCATTTGAAGAAACTAAGCTCAGCAGCCACAGTCTCATAACTATTAATAATTAATCATTTAAAAAGTCAAGGCCTGAGCCCAGTCTTCTGGCTTACATTTCAATGGCTTTTTAGTTTAATTAGCAACTCTATTAAAATGTGTACACTATGAACACTTTAATTCAATTTCTTTGAACTCAAATATTTATTGAGTACTATAAGGAAGATGCTGCAAGGAGCACAAAATAAGTTAAACAAAGACCCTGCCCTCAAAGAAGCCTCAATGGTAGTAAAATAGGTGACATAATCGCTTCAGTAAATATATATACTATAAGAGTGGTAAAAATTAAGCACTGGGATTGCTCAAATCACATCAACATATCAGGAAAGGTTGAATGGGCAAGATGATAGTTGAATTGGAGTTTGAAAGATACATCCAAAAAGAAAGTTTCGATTAATCTTTAGATAAATTTATCTTTAGGTAAATGATAAGCCCCCTCTTAGAGAAGAGGGGGCTTATCATTTATTTCTAGAAATTTCACGCTTTTATCCAAAGCCTTTCATAGAACTTTCTCACTTAATCACCCGGTGGCTTGGAAAGAAAAAAGAGAATTGGGTGACTTTCTGGAAGGTACAGGCAGGGGTTTGTTGTAGGGATAGGTCAAGTTGATGGTAGCTCTAGGGCCGAAGACCAAGAAAGCTAAGCCAGAGGGATGTCTGCTTAACTCAGTGGACAGTGGTGACCACAAAGAGTTCGAAGCAAAGAAAAGATGCAACTGAAAGTATTCTTCCAGTCTATAAGATAAATTGAAAAAATAGGGAGGGAGAAATCCAGTCTGCAGACATTTTTAGTCTTAATGAAGTGGACCAAATCAAGTGTGTAACAGCATAACAGGAAACAAATGTGTTTACCTTTCCTTTGTCCCACCCAGTGTGGCCACTGAGACATGGCTTGGGCTAGAGCATCTCTAGCTCCTTTAGCCTGCATCATTTGAGGACCCCTGCAGAGCCGGTGTCTATGGGATGCCACGGCCAATTAGATGAGGAGGAGAAAGAGGTTGCTTAAAAGAGGAAAGTCAAAAACAGCAACATAGTTTGGTGGGAAGACTATGAATCTGCATTCAAATCCTTGATGTGCCATTTTACTACCTCTGTGACTTTGGGTGAGTTACTTACAGCTCCCAAAGCCTTGGAATTTTCATCAATAACATGGTTAACAAAGCCCATCCCATGTGGTTTGTTGTAAGGATTAGGTTAGATATCCTGGGAAAGCATCTGGCATGATACAGAACACAAAAGGTCCTCAATTAACTTCATTTTTTTCCTCAATCCACATTCTCTTGGCTGCATGTCTTCCCAATCTCTACTGGGAATTCTGAAGCTTCAGTGCAGTGAGTACAAGGAATTTCAGTGCCGACCAAGGAAAAAGACATGACTGTGAAATGGCAGTAGCAGAAAACAAGCATTATTTGGGTGATATTTTGACAGATTCACAGAGGAGGAGGAAGTCTCCCAGCATGAGACCTTCCGGAGGCAACAGTATAGGGCCACCATCCAGAAAGGGAGGAAGGCAAGGGAACTGGGAGAGGGTGGGAAGATGAGAGACGGGGGTTCTATGTCCAGATGATGTCACTCAGCAGCCTGGTGGTTAACCTCTGGGACAGAGAGCTCCAAAGGCATCAGTGTCTTAGGGTATTTTATAGCCCCGGGTTTTCTTACCTATGGCTGACTGATGCACGCAGTTTTACGGGGCATGCAAAGCAAGAGGAATTTAAATGGCTGAAAATATGCTTATTTTGGCTACATCGAAAACAACTGGATTTGTAGAAGTTTGAATTTAGTACTGGGGGACTTTCGAGCTAATGGATCCTGTGATGCTATGCAGAAGTAAAACAACATAAGGCCAACAGGCAGGGCCCACCTTTAGCTCATTTATAAAGCATTTGATATCTGGAAGAATGATGGTCTTCACTGCAACCAAGATTTATTGGGTGCTTACCCTATGCCAATTCCTGGGCTGCGTACTTTTACCTGCTTTTTCTCCTATTTTCATAATTACCTTGAAAGAATTATTTTCACCTACGAAATGAAGAAACTGAAGATAAAGGAAGTTAAATATCTCGCCCAAGGAGTATGGTAAATTAAACTAAATGTGGCCTAAGGCTATCTCTGTACCTTGAGTCTCTACACGCGGAGCTGCAACTCAACTTTGTGATAAACCAAAAGCCTCAAATTAGCTGAGCCTCAGTGAATCACAGGCTGCCAAATGATCAGACCATGCTCCACACAGAAAGCTGTAAGTTTCTGGCCTCACTTCCATTTTCTGTCTATAAATGCTGCCTGCCCACGTAGCATAGTGCAGCTCTCTGAATCTCTTCTGGTTCTAAGGGTTACCATTATTCTTTGTTCAAACAAGTTCTGTTAAATTTAATTTCTTGAAAGTTATTCTTTATAACAAGTGGTTGAGCTTGGATTCATGCAGATCCCCTTTTTCCTGACTGCAAAACCAATGCTAATGGTCGTGCACGTCAAATTCATCACCACCCCGATCCTTGGTCCCTCTTATGCTTTTATTTTCATTTCATCTCATCCTCACGGTCATCATCAGCATCATCTCTTGGATGGAAATGTGTAACGCTCCAACTTAAAAGAGGCATTCCCATAAGGCTACTACACTTTGTGGACTTTGTAACATGTTCTTCTTTATTCCGCTTGTAGAAAGATTTAAATGCAAGTATAAATTTTGAAAAGAATGCATTGCATTGTGTATATCACCAACATAACTTCTGGAGCTCTTGGTCCATTGTCAAGCTCATCCTAGATGCCTCTGAGGTACTGATACAACATATTTATTCTTTTCATTACAGGTAAGGAATTTTATTAAAAGTCAAAATCACTGAAATCTGAATATAACATTGAGCTCTCCCCTCACTTTCCTACCTTGTTGGGAAGAATCTATACCACTGAGGAATTGTACACACTTCAGTTGCCTGAGGCAGCAAATTCTCCTTCTGCACTATCTGAGCTGAATAATATTGGAAGCTAAAGGACACTTCTCTTTATTTATGTACTCTTGAGCTATGGAAAATGAAAATAGTACTAGAAAAATTGAGTTCAGACTTTTTCTTTGGGAAATATGATGGTCTTTTTATAATAAACCCTTAGATATGGCTACTCCAAACCCTGTTATCTGGCATTCAGTTCACCAGAAAGGGAAGTTACTTGCTATTCTTCCAAATCTATATGGTATTACACAATAATAAATTATTATAATTCTAACCTATAATATCCTCTGATTCATCAAAGAAAAATTATTTCAAGTAGTTGGTGCTAACTAATCCATTCTTTATACATAGGACATCTAAAGAAACAAGAATTCTTAGATAATCAGAACATCCTATTCTCTAATCACATTAAATAACTGCTACAATAGAACTTGCTGTCACAAAACAGTATTTTCCAGTTAACTACAAGTAGATAAGTACTTGGTATATATAAACAGATGACCTGTCTTCAAACCTTAGACAAATTACTTATTCTATTTCTTAATTATTATCTGTAAATTGAAATTAATAATCCTATAAATTAGTGGCAAGGATTAAGTCTATTATATGTTTATGCTATCATTATTCACACATACTAAATGCTTGAGAAATATATTTTGAATTGCAACTTTTGTATTCCCACATTCTTTTCATGATGGAAACGGTCCCATCTGTACAATGGTTCTATTTTACAGATGGAAAAGCAGTATCAGGAGATTTATTTGATGATGGCTATGATGAAAACAACAATCTCCTCGTTTTCAGGAAAAAACTTCAATTCAAAATACAATAAATTTCACAGGACACTGATTGCCCTTTTTATAGGATCAATGCTCTAAGAAGAAAAACATCTTGCAGTACCACATATTTTACCTGCTATGTTGCTTGTGTTTCTGCTCAGAGTCACGATAACTGGATTTAACGAAGAGACATATGTAAATGCTCTGGGAAGAACTGCAGAATAATCCCCTCTGATCACAGTCACATTCACAATGTGTCCATCTTTCCCCTGAAAAATCAATTTTAAAAATTAAACCTCAGTGTTATTTTAACGTAGGACTGAGTGAGGGAAGAGAAGTCCATACAGAATTAGTTTAAAAAGTTGATTTTAAGAAAGTTGTTTTTAAAGAGTATATTTGCTACTTCCAAGTCTCTCCCTTCCTCCCAATCCTGCATACCCTCCCCATGCTGCCCCCCATGCAAAGTGCTAAGTGCTTGGACTAGTAAGCAAGTGCAGTGTTAGATGCATAAGGACATGCTCTGAGGGGTAAATAATAATGATTTGCAATTAACACACCAATTGTTCCTGCAAAAATATGGCAATTTCAAATAAATGTCTATAACTACCTTATATTCATTAAGTATAAGAGTACTTCAGGCATGTGACAAATCAGAAAATTTCCCTACAACACACTCTTTCATAGGATGTTTCTTATGGTTATTATCTTATGAAATAAATAATAAAGATACACACACACACACACACACACACACACACACACACACGAAATCCAAGAAACAGTGACTCTACCCAATAATGCAATTAAAGTAAGTATTAGGATGAAATATGTAGAATAAATCTAGAAAACAACTAGGCTAGATTGAAACAGGAGAACAGAGATGGCTTCAAGGAAAATGAATAACTGATATAATGGAACATTTTTTTAAAAAATGGTGGATTTTACTTATGAGAATGACATGTTTAGAAAATAAAACATGAACTCTAGGGGGAAAAAAAGAACTATAAAAGAAAAAATATATTGCCTGGTTCTGTCAGCATCACTTAAATAGTTATAATAATGTAAACATGTTTGATTTAATATAAATATTGTATTAAAACTATATTCAAAGGAATTAAAGTAGTTGATTTAGGAAAGGGGACTTGAAGAATGGAGAAGAGGGGCAGGAGGGCATAACTTACTATTTTCCTTTTAACCTATGCATCTATCGCTTGGATCAAAAGTAAAATTTGCTTTTTATTAATGTTTATTTTCTCTGGTAAAAAAAAATTAAGCAGTACATGTCTTACCCATTAAAATGGTAAATATATATTAAAATAATAAAGTGAGAACCCAGTATTGGCCAACATGCCAAAAATCAGACACTTGCACAATGATGGTGGGAGTATAATTTGAAAGAGAATTTCAGACAACTGGATACTACATATCAAAAGCTTTAGAATTTAGATTAATTTATCCTGAGAAAATAAATGTGACCCCAAAACATAGTTATTAGGATTAAAGTCCTGTTGTTTACAGTAAGGAATATTTAAAAATTATCTAAATGTCCAGTAATAGGAAATAGTTAAACAAATTAAAGTACAATCACATATTGGAATTGAATGCAGTTTACACATAAAAGCTAGCTTTTCATAATATTTAAGGAACCAGATGAGATTAAAACGCAGGACTAGTGATCAAAGAATATTTTGAACTTTATCTCCCAGGGGATCTTTATTGTGGGGTCATGAGTATGCTAAGAATGTTGATACTGCTTAAGTCAACTCTGAATAGAAAGTGCAACAGCAGTTGTGAGTGTGACTCTTCCCCAACAGCACCAGAGCAAGGCCCAGACTCAAATCCCTTAATAGGCCATGATATAGCACTAATTGAAAGGAAAGGAAGCCCTCAGGAACTTGTTTTTAAGGGGAAAAGGAAGCCATGGAGAATAACTAGGAAGATATTTCTTAGGAATCACACATTCTAGAAGTTTCTAAGTTCTACAATTTATATCCATGCTAGAAAACAAAATTGCCAGTGAAAACTTTGTTGTTTGCTTAATAGGGAAGAGAGATATCAAGATATATAAGCCTTGCAAGGCAACACCCAGAATGTGCACTAGATAAATTTATTTGTTATGTGTCACTAATACTCACTGAGAGTATGGACCAGAACTGCCTGGTTGCCTTCTTTTTAAATAAATTAATTGATGTTAATTACAAGCTCCGTTAGTGCTCGTTTCCCACTTCATAGCAAAACAGACAATATAACTACTACAAGCATATTATCATGATGAGAAGTTTACATCAGTTAATTTGGTTCTAAGAAGTGATTCACTGAAAATGTTATATTAATAGCAGTCACCCACCCAGAGAGAAACATATATCAAAGGAATCCACTTACCCTGGGTGGAACTTTGCACTGAATTCTGCTTGAATTGCTTATAGTGACATTGATGGCACATGAGTAAGATCCAAATAATACCAGGCTAACGCCTTCCAAACTAGAGCCTCGGATGGTGGCCCAGAGCCCTCCTGTAACAAAAACAGCATATTCATATGAAACCACCAATCATACAGGCAGACAAAAATTAATTATGCACAAGATGGATAAAGTGAAATTAAAATATAAAACTCCTCAGTCAAAACAAAGGCAATGCTCAAGAAGATATTTTTTAACTTAAGAAGATAAAAAATAATTGAAAAATAATCTTTGAAATGCTATTGAAGAACTTAATGGATGGATTAAAACTTACATAAGAAAATGAAAATAAATGGATCAAAAGAGTGAACACCATAAGTCACATATCTTTGTAAATTAAAGCATCAATGCAATTTCAATAAACACATAAACAGAATTTGTAATTAGACAAGCTGATTCTTAAGTTTAATGAAAAATAAACAAGAATAGCCAGAAAACAAAATTTCAAAAATAAGTGTAAAGAGGTCTTCTGCCAGATATTAAAATATCTTATACAATACCTATGGTATCAACTATGTGGTAAAATATAATTCAGAAAGAAATGCAGATCAATATGAGGCTATAGGGTATGATACAAGTGACATTTCGCATAAGTGCAAAATAAATTATTTATTCAGTAAATACAATGAGTAAATGTCACCGAAAAAAACTAAATCTGAATTTCTACCTCATATGCTTCACCAAAATAAATTCCCAATTTATCAAATATTTAAACATAAAAAACAGAAATTTTTTAACTAGAAGGAAACGTGGCAGAATTTTTATTTTCACATAATTTCAGAGTTGCAAAGTCTATACTATTATACAAGTCCTAAAGCCATTAAAGGAAGCTATATTTTATTATGTAAAATTTAAAAATATTTATGAATTGCCAAAATAGGAAACAGAGAAAAATGATAATAAAGAGCAAATATTCTTAATACATAAAATGTTCTTAAAAATCAATAAGAAAGAACAGTAACCCCATTGGGAAAAATGGGCTAAGGAAATAGACACTTCATTGAAAAATAAACACAGTGCCCTTAAACACATGAAAAGATATTCAATTTCTCAATAAAATCAATGCAAATTAAAACTACAATGAAATATTCTTTTTCTCCTATAAAATGAGTAAATATTGAAAGAGTTGGGAACACGCCATGTTAGTAAAATGTGGTAAATAAACACTCATATGCATTGCTGCATAGGTAATAAATTATGCAATCTCTAAAGAGAATATTTTGATATTTATCAAAATGTTTAATGCATATAACCTCTTGACCCAGCAATTCAACTTCTAAGAAATTATGCTACTAATATTTTCAACATATGTACAAAACAGGTACATGTGTGAAAATATTAGTAGCATAATAACATACATACAAAATAATAAAGTTGGGCCCTGTCTCCCACATCCCCATCAAAATTTATGTTATTGCCCTAGCTCCCAATAACTCCCAATGTGACCTTATTCAGAAATGGGATTTTAGCAGACGCAATTAGTTAAATTAAGATGAGGTCATACTAAAAAACGATAAGACCCTAATCCAATATGACTGATGTCTTTATAAAAAAGGAAGGTATGGGCCAGGCGCAGTGGGTCACACCTGTAATCTCAGCACTTTGGGAGGGTGAAGCAGGCAGATCATGAGGTCAGAAGTTCAAGACCAGCCTGGCCAGCATGGTGAAACCCTGTCTCTACTAAAAATGCAAAAAATTAGCCAGGCATGGTGGTCCCTGCCTGTAGTCCCAGCTACTTTGGAGGCTGAGGCAGGAGAATTGCTTGAACCCGGTAGGCAAAGGTTGCAGTGAGCCCAGATCGTGCCATTGCACTCCAGCCTGGGTGAGAGTGAGACTAGGTCTCAAAAAAAAAGGGGAGGGGGTGGAAATTTAGACACAAACAAGACAGAGAGAATACTGTGTGAAGATGAAGGCAGAGATTGGGGCGGTGTTCTATAAGCTAAGGAACACCAAAGATTGCCTGTAAGACACAAGACGTTAACAGACAGACATGGAACAGAGTCTTCCTCAAAGTTTGGTTCAGAAGGAACCAACCTTCCTGACACCTTAATCTGAGACTTCTGGCCCCCAGAACTATGGGACAATAAATTTTTGTTGTTTAAGACAGCCAGTTTGTGGTACCTGATTAAAGCAGCCCTAGCAAACTAATACAGACCCCTACCTCATACCATGTATAAAAATTAACTGAAAATGAATCAGGTACCCATATAAGAGCCAAAACTATAAAACACTCAGAAGAAAACATGGGCATAAATCTTTGTAACATTGGATTAGGCAATAGTTTCTTAGATATTAACACCAAAAGTACAAGCAATAACAACAAATATAAACTGAACTTCACCAAAATTAAAAATTTGTGTGCTTCAAATAACACTATTTGAAAAAAATGAAAAGGCAACTCACAAAAGGAAAGAAAACATTTCCAAATTATTTGTCTGATAAGTGATTAGTATCCAAAATACTTTAAGAACTCTTACACCTCAACAATAAAATGACAACCCAATTTACAAATTGGCAAGATTTGAATAAGCATTTCTACAAAGATGTATAAATTGCCAATAAGCACATGAAAAGATACTCAGCATCTTTAGTCATTAGTCATTAGAAAAATCAAAACCACAATGAGGTAACACCTCATGCCCATTAAGATGGCTACTATGAAAAATAATAATAACAAGCACTGATGAGGGTGTGGAAATATTGTGATATGGTCTGGCTCTGTGTCCTCACCCAAATCTCATATCAAATTGTAATTCCCAATGTTTTGGGGGAGGGTCCTGGTGGGAGGTGATTGGATCATGGGGGCAGATTTCCCTCTTGCTATTCTTGTGATAGTGAGTTCTCACAAAATCTGGTTGTTTAAAAGTGCAGAGCACATCCCCCTTTGCTCTCTCTCTCCTGTCGCCATGTGAAGATGTGCTTGCTTCCCTTTCATCTTCCGCCATGATTGTAAGTTTCCTGAGGCCTCCCCAGCCATGCCTCCTGTATAGCAGGCTGAACTGTGAGTCAATTACACCTCTTTTCTTTATAAACTTTCCAGTCTTAAGTAGTTCTTTCTTGCAGCGAAAGAATGAACTAATACATATTGGAACCCTCTTATATTGCTAGTAGGAATGTAAAATTATGCAGCCATTTTGGAAACAGTTTGGCAATTCTTCAAGAACTTAAACATGGAGTTTATGTTTGACCCAGCAATTCCATTTTTAGATATGTACCCAAAAGAACTGAAAGCATATATTCACACAAATCCTTGTATACAAATATTCATAGCAGCCTTATTCATAATAACCAAAAAGTGGAAACAATTCAAATGTACATGAGGAGATGAATGAAAAACAAAATATGGTATATCCATACCATGTAGTATTGTTTAGTCATAAAACTGAATAAAGTACTGATACATGTTACAACAAACATGAACCTTAAAAATATCATGCTAAGTAGAGAAGCCGGATGCAAAAGGTCACATATTGCATTATTTTGTTTATATTAAATGTCTAAAATAGGCAAATTCATTTAGAAAGAAAATAGATCTGTGGTTACCAGGGACTGGGAAGAGGGAGGAACAGTGAGTTACTACTAATGTATATAGGTTCCTCTCCAGAGTGATAAAAATGTTGTCGAATCAGATGGTGGCAAGGTATACAACTTTGTGAATATATTGAAGACTGCTGAGTTTACACTTTTTAAAAATGAGTTTTATGATATGGGAATTATATCTCAATTTTTTAAGTTAAAAAAAGAGATCCTAGAGGCACAGAAAATAAAGTGTCTCTACCTTCTTCTAGTATATATCTATACTACCCTAGGCCAAGCCAACATTCTCTCTCCCTTGGATATCTGTCATACCCTCCTAACTGGTCTTGCTGGTTTCATGTTTGCCTCCCTACAGTAAGTTCTCACACAGTAGCCTAAGTCAGGTCATGTCACTCCACTTGAAATCCTCAATGGCCACCATCTCACTCAGAATAAAAGCTAAGCAAGCTGAGGGCCATTCAAATCCCCCAAGGTCATATAACCTGCTCTGGGTCTTCTACCACTCTCCCCTCACTCAATCTACTCCAACCATGGCAACCTCCATGGCATTTTTAGAACAAGCCAGGCTCACTTTGACTCAAGATACTTTGTCATTTGATGTTCCTTCTGACTTGAACTGTCTTCTCCAAGATTTTCCCAGAATTCATTCCTTCACTTCACCCATATCTCCCTTCTTTAAGGCTTTTCATATCATTTCTCCAATGTCAATGACCATCCCATCACAACCATTCACTCCGTCTCTCTTCATCCCCTTCCCTTCTTGATGTTCATCCTACACATTTACCATCACCACCCCAAGAACAGAGCCTTTGTTTTTATTTACTGTATCCCCAGCATTAATAATGCCTGGCATATCATATGAGCTAAATTGTCATTATGATTATTGTTGATGGTACAATTAAAAGTTGAAGAGGTGATGATATCTTGCCACTCTCACTTGAAAGTTTAGACTATGGCCACAAAAGGGTCCATACCTTAAAAGAAGACAATGCTATCTCAGCACAAAAATGCATGAAGAAAGTATGCAAAGCCAAGCCAAGATTTTCCTCAGAAAAATCCTTTCAAGGGTTTTGCATCTGCAAATGAGTAGATGGGGATTTATTACATTATTGTCCTCATTCATTATATATGCAAATATTCTGTAAATTTCCTGTCGGTAGGCTCCAGCCTGGTTCTCTTTAAATCTCCTAGAGCATCATTTCTCAAACTATAATCTTCATAGAGATGAACTGAAGACCTGTTAAAATGCAGATTGGGGGAGGATCCAAGATGGCCGTTTAGGAACAGCTCAGGATTGCAGCTCCCAGTCAAAGCACAGAGGGTGAGTGGATGCCGCATTTTTATTGCCCACAGACTAGGAAATTCCCAGGCGGAGGAGCTCCACAGGTCACCGGCGCGGCTGTTTCGGCCAGTGTGGCTGTGCCGGCCGGTGCCACTGCTTTGCCCCGCGCAGCTGCTTTGTCGGCGCCCTGGAGCAGTGCTTCTCCGTACAAAATACACCAGTCCGGGTGCCCTT